GTGAATGGATCCGTGAAAGACTCATTTTTACGGAGTTTTTACATAAATAACGGATAAAATTTTTTATAGGACAAAGATTATTATATAGAATAAGAGAGATCAATATGCATGTAGTAGCAAGTTTACGTTCACCTTGCCAGCCTGCATCTGCAAATATTTCAAAATTTATCATTGACCACTTCAACATGGTGAAGAAATGTCGAGAACGTTATGAATCTTCCTTATTGTGAAAATCTTACATTCTGTGATAATGTTTTAGCATCGGATGCTTTTTTAAAATTAATGCTTCATGTGTTACATGACTCCTTTTTTGCTTAAGATTCTGACTATGGTTTAAGTCAAAATCTTTATTGTCATCTGTATCAATCCCATACTCATCATCTTCAATTTCATCATCTACAGCCTTATATTCCCGTCATCGTATGCAATTTCATCATCAATCTGTGATGACGTTGCGCACTTCACAGATTAATTTCCTCGCTTCTTAATCTATAAAATTATATAAGGGAACAGAAATCAGTATATGAAATACTGAGTCATGAAACACTCATACTCCACAAACAGACTAAGATGGCTCGATTGGCTCGTGTCTATGACGAATGTAACACTGACAATCTTTATGGATGCTCGGAAATTCATATGACTTGGCACATGAGCAGATATTTTATTTGTTACTTATTTCGACCAAAAACGTCACCTTTTTTTAAAGTTAAGCGTACTCAATTTTTTTTATTTCTGCAGTAATAATGTCTGCTAAAAAAATGAAAATGAACAGATTAATTTGATTGAAGAAGTTAAGAAGTTATTTCTTTAACTATTATGAATATAAACACTTTCATAATATTAAAAAGATCGATGATGATAAGGCCTTGGGAAAGTTTATCGAGCGAATTGGAAAAATTCGAAAAGATATATTATCATTATGACAATAATTAATTTTTTTTTTTTTTACTTGAAATTTGAATCATTATGATACTAATATTGAAATGAACCCTGCATGATTATTTTAAGTTATCTTTATTCATTAAAGAATTCTCGTTCTTAACTAATAAAAAACATTATTTTATTTTATTTTTTTTTATTTGGAGAAAAGTGGTCAGTTTGATTAAAGCAACAAACTGCGGCAACTAAATCGTAACTGTATAATTGTGACATTGTTGGTTATGCAAAAATTTTTGATTGTTCGCACTCCTTTTGACTGTATGTAAACTTGCAATGGTTCGAACGGTTTACATTGTTTATTTATTCATTTATCAATCATTAAAATCAATGAAATAATCAGAAAGTTAGCGTCTAAGCAGAGCTTATTACTAAATAACAATAATTCATATAAAATTTATATAACTGAATAATATGTTAAATTTTAATTATACTATTTTATAAAGCCTTATAAAAAATTTTATCCGTTATTTCTGTAAAAACTCCGTAAAAATGAGCCTTTCACGGATCCATTATTAATTTCGGTAATATGAGCCTTTTACGGAAAAAAGAAGAAATATAAAAAACGGATTGACTTTTTATAGGGTCGAATGAATGAAGTTCAAATTCGAGAACATGTTCTTAAATGGGTATTGTTCAGAATCCTGGACTTTATTCTGATCCTTTAAGTTATTTAAATGATGATTTAACGCTTTTAAAAATACTTTATAATGATTTATTCCTCAATTAAATTTACTTTTAAAAGAATTCTTAAATAAGGTGTACCTGTAAAAAAGGACGTTCCTGAAGAGCCACATGAAAATTTAATCAGATTTTTTGGACAATGATTGTAAACCAAAAAAAAAATCAGAAACAACAAACAATTAAAATAACTAAAGTTATTGGTTCAAAAGGAATAGGTACAAAAATCATTACGATTCAACATGCTGAATTAATCTCAAAGTGGATAATACATTATAAATATGGACAAGTTGAACAATTTATAAGAATTCAAAGTTTTATATTATAACAATGATTAAAGTAAAAAACAAAGATGGCTACAATCTGATTACATGACAATTTAAATGTCTTCAACTTTCTTTTCTCAATAATGAATATAGTATAATTAAAGATAAGTTTTATATTTTCTTTTAATTATAAAAAATTATATATTAAGTCGAGTTGAGGGCGAAAACTCATTTGGGCCATCATTTGGTCGTGAAGACCTTATGATATATAATAATAAAGCTAGTTATTGCAAAAATGATTTAATAGAAGAATAAAATATTACAGGTTAATGTAATAAGTGTTTATCATATATAAATTATTAAATCGATTATTTTGGCTTATTTTCACTAGTAGTTATCTTTTTAATAAAAGAAACAATAAATTTACAGTTGAAATGATATTTGAAATTTTTATCATTATTCTGCATGAACTAATATTATTTTATTTTAAGAATAGGTGAAACTGTATCTTAACGTTAAGACACCGAAATTTAAAAGTCCTTTAATATTTTGTTGTACTTCTTTTATGATCTGTAAAATGTTAATTAATAATAAACAGTAAATTGACAATATTGGATTCTGGAAAATTTGAGATATACTAATCAGTTGAAAAATATCTCATTATTTTTTTAAGACAGGTTGTTATCCCACTTATTCAATTCATTCAATGTAAACTTTTAGGAATGAAAAAAAACATATATTTAGCAATTTTCGTTCGAATGTAGAATGTCCATTTTAAACTGAAGTTTGATAAAAAATTTTATTTTAAAAAAAATATAAGATAAAGTGACAAGGATACATTGTGTATTTATTGTATTTATTTAGTAATTAAAAAAAAATCTTGGACTTTTCATAGTAAATAGAAAGAATGTATCCCGTTAAACAACAACATTTCTTTCAGCCGGAGCTATTCGCCATTTATGTGTGATGCTTAAATCTCGCTCCAAAAAAAGGATATTTTTATGGTGATTATTTAATTCTGGGTCAGAAAAAAAGATCCGAAAAAAAATTGAATTTTTTCTCTTTAAAAACTATTTTGCTCAAATAAACCAAAAATCCATCTTTGATGCTTTAATTAACTAACTTGCAGAGCAGGCAAAAATACATATACTGTACATTTTTTAAAAAAGTTTGTATATTAAAAATTTCTTTTTTACAAATTTTTGTGAGATTTAAGCTTCATACAGGGGGAGCGAGTCTGTCAGCGAGATACAAATTTATTCTATTATAAACATATTGCAATTTAAAGCTCATTTTACTTCATAGTATATTGATATATCTTGAAATTTGAGAGGACTCTTTCTTTTAAAAAATATTTTTAAAGGAAATTCACGAAGTTCATGAAATTCTTTCATTATTTTAATGTTGACCAGAATTAAATTTAACAAAAAAAACAAAAATACGAGTAGTTTAATAAAAAAAAAGAAAGAAATCCATCATTTAACGCAGACAAATTTACAAACGAAGGGATAGAATAATGGAACCACGTGGTATTGCATTTTTCTCCAACTTGCTTCTTCAAATCAGTTAATCCCGTTTCATAATTATTAACTAATCCTTAAGACATAAGTATGTTGCATATTAAAAATTACCATATTTATGATATTTTGAGTAATCAGCGATTTGTAAAGTAATTTCTAGAATGATAATTATTTAGATTGTCAATGAAATCCTAATTAAATTTTTCTTTGAGATGTAAGGTTTATGCTTCATTGATATTATTTCTTATTTTAGTATCTGTTTGACTATTTAATAAAATTATTCTTTTACAAATTATTGCGTACAAAGAAAATCTTAATTTTTAGGCGTCGCATTACTAACATTCTATAGTACTTTTATCAATAAATTTTAATCTTCGGTGAGTAATCTTGCAAACTTTGATTTTACTGTTTAAAATATAATAAATAAAATGAAGGGTTGATATAAAGCCCTTCTGGTTACTTGATTTATACTAACCACTTTGTTTATAAATTAATGTGAATAACTCTAATAATAAGCTTACTACATTATCCAGAATTGACTTTAAAATCAATGGAAATGATTGGATTACAATATTATCACGTGCGTATAATATTTGATAACCGTACGAATTTTTCAAAAAAAAAAATATTTTGACATCCTATTCTTTAGCTGTTAAACCGAGCCGTCCGAGCTAAATTGTGCTTACTAAAAGCTAAGCTTGAATAAAATCTAATAATAATAAGATGGATTTAATATTTGCTAAATAATTTATTTTTATAATATACATTGATTTTAATGTCATTATCATCAGAAATGTTGGCAATCCAAAATGACATATTTTCATTGATTTTTGTTATATTCTCGGTGTATCTAATTCATTAAATGGTCAATACCCAAATTGCCAACATTTCCGATAAAGGTAATAAAAATATCTCCAATAAAATGAAACAATCAATTTATTGATTAGGATCGAATCACTTATTATTACTTATTAGACTTTCATCTTATATTCATTTTATACTTTATGCTCGGTTTTCTTTTTCAATTATATTTTCACTTAGTTTCCTTTTTTGTCGATTTAACTTTATCATTTGATTCTTTTATTATTGTTTCACTTTTGATTTTCCTTTAACTTTCTTTTGTTTGACTTATTTCATTTTTTATCCTTGTTTAATTTAATAATCCTTTCATTGGTGTTTTTTTTCAGGGTTTTCGTTAGTTTTAGGATAATGTGCAATCAAAAATATTTCAAATAATTTAGTATAATTCTCCATTTTATAATTTAACTTTTAAAACATTTTTGTAAAAATCTCGAAATTATTTTTCATTTAAACATAATCATGTAAAAAAATACTAATAATAAATTTATTCAAAAAGTGATAATTAATCTGACCCTACATTACGTACTGTACAGTATATTAAATCTTTTACATCAAAATAAAGTTAGTTTAATGATAAAATTAATTTGCCATAAATGAACAATCAATACTAGCTAGCCAATTTATAATTTATTTATTTTTATTAAACCAAAGTACTACATATAAAACCATAAATAATAGCTAATAATTAATATAATTTTAATTAAACTAAATTCTTTTATTTTTATAAAAAAAATCATTCAATATTATTTTCTTCATCTTGATTAATTTCATTAAGGTCTACAAAATAAGTAAATTAATAAATATTAGCAAAATAAAGAACTAAAGAATAAATAATTTACCTAATTCGTCCAATTGACAATCTAAACATTCTGAATAATCTATAAATTAATTAACATAACATTAAAAACAATATAAAAATCTATTAATTATATTGATTGCAAATAGAAATAATTACTTACGTAATGTTGTTTTAATAGCATCTATTAAAAAATAAAGTTATTAGTAATGTAAACATTTATTTGGTTATCAAAGTAAGTTATATTAATTTACCTGAATTTACTGGTTCTGGAAGATTCTTGAAATTTAAAATTCTGCTAGTATAGATTGCTTGCGGATGTGTTTGAATGTTACTAGATCTTTTTTCACTTGTTCTGTTTAATTTGATTTTGTCGCCATATTCATTTATTTGAGAACGATATTTAGATTGTTCATAATACAATTTTTCAAGTTCTTGATATAATTCTTTAGTAATTGGTCTATTTTCTACTTTAGCATCCCAACATTTAGTAATCAAATCTGCAAGTAATTTTGGTGTATATTTAAAAATGTTTGGTCTAAGTCCTTTACATATTTTAATAGCTAAAGCATGATTATGAGGAATATTATTATAAGGAGTTTCTTCAGATATATATTCATTCATCATTATTCCAAGTGAATAAATATCAGATGCTTTTGTACTGTCTCTTATACACATCTAGATGTGTATAAGAGACAGGAATTAAATTTAACAAAAAAACAGAAAAAAATAGAATTTGTTAAATAGCTTTAAATAAATTTGTAAACAACATTTTTTATTTCAATTTAAAGAAAAATAAATAAAAATATATAAATTATATTATATATTTATTTACAAAATTTTTTTTTGTAAAATATCCAATATAAATTAAAAAAATTTCTATTAATAAATAAAGTATAATTTTAAAAATTTTCTTTACTTTTATTGCAAATTCTATTAGATATTAGTCTTAAAAAGAAAAAATCATAGTAATATAATATATTTTTTTTTTATATATATAACTATTAATTTATATAAAGTAAAATTNTGAAATTTTTAATAATATATAAATAATACACAAATAAAAATAAAAGTAAATAGATTGCATTTCTTATTTTAATTACCTCATTTAAAAATTCCATACTTAGATAAGATGAATTATTCAAACTTTTTAATGCAACTTTTGCATTACTAATTCTTAACCATTTTTGATTTTCAATATTCCAATAATAAATATATCCTTCAGACCATTCAGCTGAATAGACTTTACCAAATCCACCTCTGGTAATATATGTAATATCTTTAAAATTTTCAAAAGGTATCCATTCAAGATATTTTTTATAGTACACAGCATTAAGTTGGGATTATTGTATAAATTTATCAATATCTTTATTTCCACTAGTCCAATTTTTAAAGTTATCCTTAAATCTTTTAGCATTACAAGGTTGACACCAATCTTCTCCCGTGCCAGGTTCATTACATTCTCCACATATTCCATATACTTGTTTTCTTTTTTCTAAATCTTCCATATAAACTATTTTATCATTTATCTCTTCTGCTGATTCAGTAGTTGAACCAATAGTAGAAATTGTAACATGTTTCTTTTAAAGATAAATAATTAAAAAACATTATTATTCAAATTAAAAATTCAATAATGTTATATTATTAATGAATTGTTTTACCTGATATTCACCAGCATAAACGCCCTTCCATAAATTTCTTTTATATTCTTTAGGGTTCATTTTTGATATGATTTCATAACCATACTAAATTAATTTGGATTGTATATATGTAAATTACAATTTTTATTTATCAAATCAAAGATAATGTTAACTATATAATAAAATGAAGCGCGGACAAATTTATCTGTTATCACAAATAAGCCCTTGTGCAACATGTGTAACATTGATATAAAAATTCTATTTATAATAATCTTATGATGTTACGCTATTGATCGGCATAGGAAAAAAAAGGAAATTTTCAATAAATAATTAAAATAATTTCAGCCAATAACTAGCAGTCATCCGTTGCATACCAATGAGTTTGTTTAAATAGACAAATTGTATTATAATGTATTAAATGTAATACTAAGTAAATTAAAGATTGTTACAATAGTTTTTGTTTATAATTAGGAATTTAATATGGTAATAATTAGCCAACAAAAAATAATAAAATAATATGTATTAAATTATATTTATAATATTAGAATGATATAAATTATGTTACAATAATGTAGCTATTTATATTAATGATTTGACGTTTGAAATTCGGAATTGTGAAAAAATAATTATCAATAAAAATTGATTAATTTTTTAGAAGTATTTTCGAAAAAATTTTAATATTATGAAAATACTACAAATATTTTTATTAATTAGATAGATTATAAATTTTATAATTATTTCTTATTACTTTATATTACGTCAATCTTTAACTTATAACCAACTTAAGAAAAATATTTGAACAATTTTAAAATGTATTAGAATCTGTTCATTTCATTTATTATTATTCTTTTGATACTCATTTTACTCAATAAATTATTAATTTAACTAAACCATTTGAATTAAAATCTTTATTCAAAAATCTGGTGATTATTTAGAGAATTTCGGATATGAATTTGGTTATAATAATCTATTATTAAATCAACAATTTCTTTTTCTTCAATTAATTAATTATAAAACATTTTAAAAATATCAATTTTTTTTTGATTTTTATGAATTTGAAAATCAAACTATTTGATCATCTATCAACGTCGGTCAATTTTTCTGCATGTTATATTTATTTTTTTAAAAAAAATAATTATTTTGTAAATATATTTAATAAAATATTTTATTTCTTTATTTAATAATAATAATAATAAATTGAAAGAAAAAGAAAAAAAAGTTAAAAAAAATTTGGGGGGAAAGAAAAAGGATAGAAAGAAATAGGTTTAAAAAAAGATAAATTTTTGAAAAAAAGAAAAAAAAGTAAGTACCGAAAAAAAATTCCGATTAAGGTAAAATTTCATAACTGAAATTGATTAGTTGATTAGTTGATTGGAATGCACACGGATCAAATAGTTTTTGACCATAAATAGATCGGGTGAATCTTACCACACTACCTCGCGTAGTACAGGTGATGATTTTGTCACATGGTCACGTGATGGCGGCGGCCTATTTACCGACAGAATTTTTTTGCAGTGTAACAACACTATTAATATTCGTAACACGCGAGGACGCGAGGTCGCGAGGTGGTGTGGTAAGATTATCCCCGTGGAAGCATGTCATGGGTTTTAATTATATGGCATGGGATTTCAAGTCACAAATTTCAATTATTTATGTGGAGACTAATTCAAACGTCAGATTCCTGTAATGCCGATCCATGTATGACTTACCAAAGATGAATTCCTCAATGAAAAATTATGGGGTAAAATTGGAATGCCATAAAAATTTTTTACATAGCAGATAATTACAGGATCATTTCTCAGTTTTTTTCTAATGCTTTAATAAAATTAAATACGTTAAGATAAAGAGACTTTATTTGATATTTTCATAATTATTTGAGCACTTGGTTATGCTAATAATTCTATTTTGCTTAATCTATTGTTAATTCGCTATTATATCAAAAAGGCTCATAAAATAATTATAGTATGTAAATATGATCAAAATTAAATCATCAGTTATTCTCTATAATATATTTAAAATAATTAAAATAAATTTAGTAAAATTAATTGAATTTAAATTATAACATTATATATAAATATAATTAAAATTAAACTATATATATAAACTTGCGTAAGTTTCGTAGATTTCTTTACGTAAACTTACATGTATGGTTACACTCGCAGCCTTGGGGTTATGCAAAAAAAAATTTTAAAGTCTACGCTTTATTTATTATTATTATTTTTATTGTTAAACACCGTCTTATCAAAATCAACATAAATTGGAATTTATAAAATTATAGTGCCTTACGTGTTATGTAATATATGTTGCACTTTTATTTAATATTTTAAAAAAATTCTGACACATCATTTATTAAATAACATTAAGGTATAATTGGTATAATTAAACATTAAATTTTCCAGTCATAATAGATTTTTTATTGCTAAATAAATTTATTATTCATAGAAAACATTTCATTCAAAATTATTTAGAAATTACAAGTTTTTTCAAGTAAATTTTACAATGTATAACTAAAGTAATCTAAAATGATATCTTACTAAGACAGATTTTAATGCATCATTTATTTTATTATAAATTTAAGGCTTTGTTATATTTTTTTTAGTTATTAGGTAATGCAATGGTCAAGCCATAACCAATGACCAACCGTTTAACCAATTAGTTCATATCTTTAAACAACGTTGACACTGCGCCAAAATCACGTGATTTAGCTGTTTTTGAGGGAGTTTAATTTAAAGTAATTACTGGATCTTTTGCTCGTCACAAAATTTTTCCACCCCCACGTGACCTTAAAAAATTTGTCACCGGTGTACACCCTTCCTGTTTTCCGTTTTTACTATGTATTCCAGGTGTAAAATCCTATTTGTCACGCTTTATTTGTCACATGCTTAATTTCTTAATGCCAGCCGAGACATATAATTCCGGCCAAAAATCACGTGGGGGTGGAAATTTTTTGTGGCGTTACTGGGGTAAATGTCGTCGTTATTGAACGTTATACGACGTGTTGCAAAAGAGAGAAAATGTATCGCCACTACACTTCTAATTTACTGTAAAAACAATTTCACTATACCTATTTTACTATTGTAAACATATAGATAAAACGTAGTAATTTATTTTTATTTGCATATATATTTAATAGAGCAAACAATGCTATATATTACATTGCTACGCTAGCTGACTATTAAATTATACATTATTTAGTATTGATAATATGATTCTTTATAAAAGTATCTGAAAATGAAATTATTTATAAACTTTTCCTTAAAACAAAATAATCCCAAGAAGGTAGCCTCCTACCGAAATTCTACACGTTTAAAAACAATCTGTCCAATAACAAGAAGGTTAGAAGAAGCTGAGACCTATAAAAAAATAATAAAAGAAACATTAAAAATGTTTCTAGTTTCGCAAAGAAACTTACCGTCTCAAAACTCCAGGTACCCAATCAAAGCCCTTCTATACCTACAAAAAAAGTAAAGAATAAGGAGTTAAGGACATTTCCAATATTAAGAAAAAATGTAAATTTCATTACGAAACTTACCATTACCATTGAGTGAGCGTTTTAAATTCTTGTATCCGTTCTTCTGTATCCAGAATCAAAGTCAGATTTTCATTTTGATTCATTGTATGCCAATAGTGATACAATTTCCATCAAAATAGTTTCCACTGAAGTCTCACATGTCAAAAGGTCCAGGCTGCGTGTTAAGAAAATCTGGAAGAACCTAAAAAAAAGGCATGAAAATGAAATGTTAGTTAAAAGTTTCGTTAAATGAAAAAAAAAATGAAAAAAATTTAATCTGTAAGAACCTAAAAAGGATACCATTGAAAATTTCACGTCCAAAGACCTTACCTGTCTAAAAAAAAGAAAGAAGAAAATGTAATATTAGTTAGTAATGTCTCATTAAAATAAAAAAATTTAATATCTAAAAAAGTAAAAAGAAATTAACCATTGAAAATTTCACACGTCCAAAGGCCCAACTGTCTAAAAAAGAAAAAAACAAGAAAACAAAATTTTAGTTTTTCGTCAAATAAAAAAAATGAATGAAAAAAAATTAAACTTACCGCAAGAAAATACAAAAGAACTACCTAAAAAAAGAGAAAGAAATGAACTGTTAGGATCTGATGGAAAATAAATAAAAAACTTTATTTAAATGTCTCCCAAAGAAACTTGAAAAATATCTAAAGAAAGAAAAAAATGAATCATTAGATTACAACATTAAAAATAATGAAAAAAATGAAAAAAAATCTTACCAGAATCCTGCTATCCCAATAATTTTTGTCTAATAAAGAAAAGTATCAAAACGTTATTAAACGTTTTGCTAAAGATTTTGTTAAAGAGGGTGAGACGAAAGGAAGAGAAAAGGTGGAAGGGAAAAGTTGAGGCTGTGAGAAAGGAAAAAGTTTCGTTAAAGTTTTTTTTTAAAAAAAGTGACTGATCTGTTAAAATTGTCATGTGAATCACATGATACATAGTTTTATATAAATAAGGGACTCCCCCCGAAATTGATTTTTTTTTTTTTTAGATACTGTATGTATATATGTGCTCATACATACACATATATATCTAATAACTTTACGAAAAGCCCCTCCTCTTGTAAATGAGTAGAAGCCATTAGTGCCTATAAGGGGAGAGCCATTGCATTTATAGTGACAGAAAGAGGGAGTAAGGTTTAATATAAAAATAATAATAATAAAAAAATGGTATTCAGAAATACTTTAAGAAATTATTATTAAAATTTTTTTTTTGGAGTGGTCTTGCATTAGCCAATAAGCATAAATATCTGCGCATAAAACAAGTGATCATTTTAGTATAGTATAGTATTATTACCGTTGCTATGCAATTATAAGCATTGTAGCTGCATTTTCAACATCAATATTATAAAAATGAAAAAAATAATACTTTAAAAGTTTTAATATAATAAAAATCCATATTTATGATATAGTCACAATATATCAAACAACGCAACCACAGTATTGTAGCGTAGGTGTATTGCAATTTCGTATTAATGTACAATGCATTGTCACGTTACTAAAATCACAACTTACGTGATACTATAGTGAAAGCGATGTCATAAAATCACAGATTTTAGCAATGAATATCTTATGTCAACTTATCATTATGAATAATTTCACTTACAAATAAATTAGCCCTATAAAAACGAAATGTATTAAATTTGTTGTTCATGTGTAATAAGTGTCTAAAAAAGCACCATTTTGTCCGATTTATGTCTTATTACAAAAAAATGAAAATTAAACAAAATGGTGCTTTTCTAGACATTTATTACACATGAACAACAAATTTAATTGCTGATCCGTTTAAAATCGGCACTTTTTTCGGGGTTAATTAACGGTTAAATTTAAGCAAAAATCGCACAATTGTAAGAAAACTACATAATACTAGAGAAGGGAATAATTCATTATATATAATAAAAATTATATAATATATGTAAAAAAACCCAAGGAAAAATAATATGCTAAAATATTTGTACCTTTATTATTGAAAAAAACAACTTTACATTTCACGCGCGTCAGATTTAACTTTTATATGCGAATTTTGATAACTTTTTATTATATTATTATATTTAAATATCAACAAATGGCTTATAGTAACAATCAACCAACTTTAAATTACTAAAAAAAACCATTTATTAATTATTTAATTGTCAATTCGTTTAATATTGGCACAATTTTTACTTTTTTAGCATTATATGTGCGGGGTGAAATTTAACGAAAATTGCATAGTTGGCAATAAATTCACAAATACTAAAACTGCGATAACTCAATATTTTTTAATAAAAATCATATAATATATGTAAAAAAACCCAAGGAAAAATAATATGTTAAAAAAATTATAACTTTACTATGGAAAAGAATGACTTTACATTGTACGCGCGTCAGATTTAAAAGCTATATGTATTTTATATATACGATAGTGCCATTCTTAAACGGATCGGCAATTAACACATTTCATTTTTATTACTATAGTAATAAAAAGAAATTTCATAAATCGTCATTTTCATCAGAAATATTGACAATCTAAAATGATTTATTTTCTTTTTGTTATATTCTCGGTATATCTAAATGATCAATATCCAAATTTTCAACATTTCCGAAAAAGGTAATAAAAATATCTCTAATGAAAAGATAATGAACATGAAACAATATCAACTTACTAATCAATTATAAATTTTTATTAGGATCGAATTACTTTCATCTTATATTCGTTTTATACTTTGTGCTCAGATTTCTTTTTTCAATTATAATTTCACTTAGTTTCCTTTTTTGTCGATTTAACTTCATCATTTGATTCTTTTATTATTGTTATTATTGTTTCACTTTGGATTTTCCTTTATCTTTCTTTTATTTTGATTTGTTTCATTTTTTATCCTTGTTTAATTTAATAATCCTTTCATTAGTGTTTTTGTTCTGTTTTTACATTAGTTTTAGTATAATTTGCAATCAAAAATATTTCAAGTAATTTAGTATAATTCACCATTTTATAATTCATCAATTAAAATCTTTCAAAACATTTTTGTAAAAATTTTGAAATTATTTTTTAAACATAGTAATGTAAAAAAAAAATAATAATAAATTTATTCAAAAAGTAATAATTTAAACTGACATCACATTACGCACTGCATATTAAATCTTTTTACGTCAAATAAAGTTAGTTTAATGATAAATTAATTTGCCATAAATGAACAATCAATAGCTAACCAATTTATAATTTATTTTTATTAAACCATTCAAAACCCATAAATAGTAATAGCTAGTATAAAAGAAATAATTTAGTAATATAATTTTGATTATACTAAATTCTTTGATTCTCATAAAAAAAAATCATTCAATATCATTTTCTTCATCTTGATTAATTTCATTAAGATCTACAAAATAAGTAACTGAAATTAATAAATATTAAGCAAAACAAAGAACTAAAGAATAAATATCTTACCTAATTCGTCTAATTGACAATCAAAACCTTCTGATACTAATATTAGTTTAATATAATGTTAAAAAAATAAGAATAATATTAATTATACTGGTTACTGATAAATATATTACTTACATAATGTTAATTGAATAGCACCTATTAAAAAAAAATATTGTAATTAGAAACATAAATTTATTTTCTGCTATCAAAGTAAATTTAAATTAAACTACCTGAATTTACTGGTTCTGGAAGATTTTTGAAACTTAAAAGTCTACTAGTATAGATTGCTTGTGGGTGTGTTTGAATGTTACTACATCTTTTTTCACTTGTTCTATTTAATTGGATCTTATCATTATATTCATTTACTTGAGATTTGATATCACTATTTTCAGTTTCAGCATCGTCATTTACTTGAGATTTGATATCACTATCTTCAGATTCAGTATCGTCATTTACTTGAGATTTGATATCACTATCTTCAGATTCAGTATCGCTATCATCACCATAAACTTCATAATATAATTTATAAAGTTCTTGATACAATTCCTTAGCAGTTGGTCTATTTTCTGCTTTAGCATCCCAACATTTAGTAATCAAATCTGCAAGTAATTTTGGTGTATATTTAAAAATATTTGGTCTAAGTCCTTTACATATTTTAATAGCTAAAGCATGATTATGAGGAATATTATTATAAGGAGTTTCTTCAGATATATATTCATTTATCATTATTCCAAATGAATAAATATCAGATGCTTTTGTATATTGGTATCCACGTAAAACTTCTGGTGCCATATAAGGTAATACTCCATAAATTCCTTCTTGTTCAACTGATTGCTTTTCATTATTTGCTGGTTGACACATTCCTAAATCACTTATATATGGTGGGCCATCAGGACATAATATATTGCCTGAATGAAAATCTTTATGAATTTTTCCAGAATTATGAATATCTAGAAGCCCACTTGCAATTCGCTTTAATTCAACAATTTTTGAATGATAACTTGATTCATTAGTCATATAATAATTTCTCAAATTTCCATATTCACAATATTCTAAAACCATCATATAATCCTTTGTATTTGGATCTTGAGTTATTCCATAACATTGAATAACATCATAAAGATAAATCTGAAGATGAGTTTTAATCTAAACAAAATGTTGAAAGTGAAATTTTTAATAATATATAAATAATACACAAATAAAAATAAAAGTAAATAGATTGCATTTCTTATTTTAATTACCTCATTTAAAAATTCTGTACTTATACAAGAAGAATTATCCAAACTTTTTAATGCAACTTTTACATCATGATACTTTTCCCATTTTCTATTTTCAATATCCCAATATTCAAGATATCCTTCAGGCCATTTAGCAGAATAAATTTTACCAAATCCACCTCTGGTAATATAAGTAATATCTTTAAAATTTTCAAAAGGTATCCATTCAAGATATTTTTTATAGTATACAGCATTAAGTTGTGATTGTTGTATGAATTCATCAATATCTTTATTTCCACTAGTCCAATTTTTGAAGTTATCCTTAAATCTTTTAGCATTACAAGGTTGACACCAATCTTCTCCTGTGCCAGGTTCATTACATTCTCCACATATTCCATATGCTTGTTTTCTTTTTTCTAAATCTTCCATATAAACTATTTTATCATCTATCTCTTCTGCTGATTCAGTAGTTGAACCAATAGTAGAAATTGTAACATGTAACTTTTAAAGACAAATGATCAAAAAAACATTATTATTCAAATTAAAAATTCAATAATGTTATATTATTAAATGATAAAATAAATTGTTTTACCTGATAAATACCAGGATCAACATTCTTCCATAAATTTCTTTTATTTTCTTTAGGGTTTATTTCTGATATTTTCATAATAAATTAATTTGGATTGTATATATGTAAGTGCAATTTAATTATCAAAATTGTTGGAGAAAAGTAAATAAATAGCGTCCAAGGTCTAAAAAAATCTAAGTTAATTAGATAAATTCTATAAAAAACCACAAATAACTTGATAAAATTACTTTTTCTACTTATTTTCCTATTTAGAATATAAAAAATTTAATTTAATGAAGTAAAAAAAAAAAATTATAAATACGGTAATAAATATTTTCATTTTTTATTGCATCCAAATGGTTAGCATGATTTTCAAAGATAATGTTAGTTATATAATAAAATGAAGCGTAAAAATTTTTTCAAAATTACTGAGTTCAGACAAATTTATTCACAAATAAGCCATTGTGCAACATGTGTAACATTCAAAATTTGATATAAAAATTCTATTTATAGTAACCTTATGATTGTTACGCTATTGATCGGAATGTCGATCATCCATGTATGAACTACCAAAGATGAATTCCTCAATGAAAAAATTATGGAGTAAAATTAGTAAAGCCAATAAAAATTTTTACATAGTTACAGGATCATTTCTAAAAAATAATTTAAACCATTTCTCAGTTTTTTTCTAATGTTTTAATAAAATTAAATTCGTTAAGATAAAGAGACTTTATTGATGTTTTCATAATTATTTAAGCACTTGGTTATACTAATAATTCTATTTTTGCTTGATCTATTGTTAATTCGCTATTATATCAAAAAGCCTCATAAAATAATTATATGAAAATATAATCAAAATTTAAATTATTTATTCCCTAAAATAAATTTTAAATAAATTTATTAAAATTAATTGAATTTAAATTATAAAAATTATATAAAAATAATAACTAAAATTAAAATATATATATAAACTTGCGTAAGTTTTGTAAATTTCTTTTACATAAACTTACATGTATGGTTACACTCACAGCCTTGGGGTTATGCAAAAAAAAAAAAATTAAAAGTCTACACCTTTTTTTTATTATTATTATTTTATTGTTAAACACCGTCTTATCAAAATCAAACATAAATTAGAATTTATAGAATTATAATGCCTTACGTGGTAATACTACAAACAACAAAAAAACTAAAAATAAATTCTTCTGATCAAAAACTATACTTAAAACTAAACATTTCCGCAGACGACCTGCCCGACCGTATAAATGTAAATTTTGATGCAAAAGGTCTATCAATCTTCTTGATTCCCTTGAGTCCTTGACCCGAATGACCCGTCGCTGATCCAGACATATTGCGGATAAATTTATTGCCGTTATGCCGAAAAATCATCACTCCTTATTGATCGCCATAGAAAATGACGCTGTGAACTGATTATTTTCCATAAATTTCTTAGATTTTCTTTAGGATTCATTTTTGATGAGTCCATAATAATTATATTATATAAATGTAGGATACAACTTAGTGAATTTAAAGATAACGTTAACCATATTATAAAATGATATAAAAAATTTTTTTTAAAGGAATTCAACGTGTGTAACATTAATAATTTGCTATAAATAGTATTCATCGAAAATAAAAATAAAATATTTGTTACAATTGCATGGAATTGTCAATCAAACGATTGAATGAAACTAAATAATAAAATTTTCATAATATTGGTACAATAATTTTATTAATGTAGTATGAAAAGCTTTGTAAACTATCTAAATTATTTACAAACGGTTTCTTTATTATAAAAGTTAAAAATTGATATTACATGAAAAAGAAAAAAAGAATTACATAAAAAAAATATTAGCAAAAATTATTTTATAAATAAATTTCTTCATCTTTTGTCATATTATTTTTTTTAGACATGAACCACTTGAAATACTTCATAATCTACAATTTGAAAACCACCTGGTTCCTCTCTTAGTTCAATATCGTAACAATCTTTTCTATGATACCCAAAATTTGATAAAGGTTGATAAGCAATATTATGTTCATCCGAATGAGCTTCCTTGGGAGTAATCCATAAATCAGTTGTACCGAAACATGGACCACAATCGTTACAGTTATGAATAAAATAAGAAATATCTGATGAATTAATTTTTCCCATCTTATTTTTACCATTCTTGTTAAAAAAAAATAAGAAAGCATATGAATCATTATTAGATGTGTTATTGTTTTCTTCCATATCCATCAGCTCGTCATCATCAGGTAAATATCTTGGTGAATCTACTGATTCAATATTACTATCATTTCCCCAAGAAATAGGATTATAGCCACCAATGATCTCATCTGTAATTTCAGTTTTAACTAATACTATTGTAGCACCTTTATTATCACAATATTCATGAAATTTCTTGATTGAATAACCATATTTTCGTGTACTATATAAGAGATTAAATTTAAAATCCCATTCTAAACCCATTAATTTTTCTGGATTCTTATTTCCAATCCAAAGTGAAATTATTTCAGCTTGTTCTGATGAAATAATGTCCGAATCAATCATTCGAACATTTCTTAACGGTAATAAAGAGTAATTTACTGGTAGAGAACTTTTGAAATAATATTCAAGAATCTCATTTACAAGCCCTTCCGGTAAAACTTTATCAAACTCATGAATATAATCCCAATATTTAACACTTGATATCTGAAAGAATCGTATAAATGGGATAAATGGTTTTAAAGTGGTTTTAAACCGATCAATTTCTTTATCAGACCATTGAATTACTTTTTTTTCATTGAGATCAGCATTTCTTTTAAATGACCAACTGAGTACAGCATTCCAAACATGAAATTCTTCAATAGATAAATCATTTATTTGTAAAAATTTGATCAATTGATTTTCAGGTAGATCATTAAATTGCTTCAAACTTAGAAACCATTTAGTATCCTTACAGATCAAATCTATAACAAATGATTTTAATTGATGAAAGTTATCATTTTCAAACGCGGTAGGGATCAATTTAAAAATGTTATCATATATCCAACTTGATCGAACTTCGATAAGGTACGATTGAAGATAATCGACCTTGTCAAATAGTTTGAAACGATCGGAAGCTTCCAATAAATTCAACAAAAATTCTGAATCCATAGTCGAAACATTTATTTCTTTACCGTAGATAATCCTATTATATATATATATAATGTAAACAATTTAATTTAAATGTAAAATAATGAAATAAAATAATAAATAATAATAACTTACTTTAAGATTGTATCAAAAATTTCAAAACTATATTCAGGAAATGTGAACTGGTAACAATTTTTTACAAGTTCATAATTTTTATTCGTACATTGAAATACAGTTTTAAAATAAAATGATCTAACTTTCAGAATAAAAGAATGACCAAACATTTTTTTAACATTAGGTTTCTGGTCTAAAATAAAAATAACATCATAATCAAGTTTATTTTGATATATTTGATCTGTATATTGAACGATTTTTTTATTTAAAGGCAATGAATTCATTTTTTACGACGTTTTAGAATGAGGATTTTTTTTTAATTATATATATATTTTTTCTACTGACGTACGCGTAAATGTTATTATTAGTCATCCAATATACCTATAAAGCTACGCCTTTTATTGATATAATCTTTTATCAATTTTCAATATACAGTTTTTAAATAGTTCTTTAATGTACAGGGTTTTTGTATAATAGGAACTGGTTTTAATTGTCGTACAAACTTTTTTACATATTAAAAATTTGCCAATGACTCATGGAAAAAATCTCTATTTACGTGAGTCATTTTACCGCAGTTGGTTATTATAGTGTCATGTATAATTTTTATATTTTTATGGATGGAGTAATTGGAGTATGGTAGGAAATCCTTTTTGGTAGGGCCGTAGTGAATAAATCAATTAAATTTACTAAAAGTTTGTTAATCAAATAATTATATTACCAATAAGGTAATAATTTGCGTGTTTCATCTTTGATGAATATAATGATTATTGATTATAGAATATCTTGAAGATAATTGAGAATATTAATTAGAAACTTTTATATTGGAAACATTACATGTAACTATACATGTTGAGATATAAGTTTACACACAATTAAAAGTATGCACTCCGCAATATTGTCTTTACACTAACGATTATAATTGAGCTTATTTTATTTTTTTACTTTTTATTATATTAATTCCATAATTTTACCGTAAATTAAATTGAATAATAAAATTTTTTTAATCTTTCTTAATAGATAAAAAATATTATTTATATCGAAACGAAACTCCAAATAAAGATCATTTACAGAATTAGGCCGGATAGAACATTTAACCAAGTTTTAATTAAACTTATCAAGTAGGGACAAAAATTACTTACATAACAAGAGTACAAGGAACTACCTTTATATAAAATATCATTTGAACAACATATGTAGCAAGGCGGCAAAAGTATATTGGTTCTCGGCTAGGTATTAAAAGAATATCTCATTTTACTAAATTTATATTTTCAACATTTATATTGATCACTGCCACGTGTCTAAGTATCCTGGCGTAGTAAATTTTTGTGCTTATCACTTTAATTATCACGGTTGTATAAAGTCATTATTTAAAATTCTTTTCGGATTTATTTAATAGGCGATCATTTAATATTTGGCGTAATATTTGTTTATTTATTTTCGCTATTGTGAAACATTACTTGTATCATTTTGATCATAGTTTAATGGTCACACAGTATCATCCTAATTTGGAAATTTTAAAAATATTTTTAAGTTTCATTTATAAAAAATTATTTTAAGTCATTTTTTTTTTTTTTTAATAAAAAAAAAAAGAATGTCCAAACTCAATAAAGATATTCTTTTCTTAATATTTGAAGAATTACAGAAAGATTCAAAATCTCTCTTTTCGTGTTTAATGATCAATAGATTTTGGTGTGAAACAGTGATTCCAATTTTATGGAGGAATCCTTGGTGTTACAATGATATTAATTATAGTAATAAAAATTCATTATTCATCATTATTTCTTATTATTTATTTAATGATATCAAAGAATTTATTACAAATCAAGAAATCAAATTATCTTTAAGTTCAAACAAATTGATCTTGTTTGATTATTTATCTTATTGTAGAAGTATTAATATAAAAATTATTGATATGATAATTTCTATTGGAACTTCTTTAACTTATAATCAATTTGTTTTACAACAAAATTTTTATCATCTCTTTATTAAAAAATGTCCAGAATTGAAATATTTTGATATGAAATTAATTAAACATCAAATATTTTATTTTCCTGAAGCTAAAATTCGTCTTGAGTCACTTTGTGAATTATATTGTGATACATCAATAAATTCTTCATACTTTTATGGATTATCACAATCTTGTCAATATATACAGAAACTTATCATTAATAATATAGACTCAAAGCCTAATCATGGGATTGCCAAATTAATTGAGGTTCAGAGGAATTTAAAACATTTTGAATGGAATGATGATATTGATTATGATTATCTTACAGAAGATCCTTATGAAAAAATTTTTCTTGCATTAGAAAAAAAGGCTGATAGTCTTAATTATTTAAGAGTATATTTTCAATATATAGAGGGTATTGATCATATATTACTTCAACAGATACTTTCAAAATTTTATAAATTAAAAATATTAATAATTGATGATTTTTTCTTTTTTACTGAAGAACAATTAGAAAAATTGAAATTACAAGTTTATAATGATCTTGAAATCCTCAATATAGAATGGAATAAATTAAATGTAATTTCTAGTATAATTGAAAATGGTGGAAGAAGTCTTAAGAAAATTTTATTTAGACCTTATGATATTATTGAATGTGAATATGGTAGTTTTAATAAAAATTCTCTAAATTTTATTCGTAAAATTTATGAGAATTGTCCTTCAATTGAATATTTATCAATACCATTTTCACCATCAAAAGAACATTTTACTGAATTTGAAAAATTATTAAAAATTTGTAAAAATTTAAAATCTTTATTATTAGTTATATGTAATATGGATAAAATTGAAACTATTGAAGAAATTTATGAAAGTGGTGAAATTTTATTAAAAATTTTAATTAGATCTGAATTAATTAATTTAAAAGAAATTAGATTTTATGATGATTTTAAATTTTCTTTAGAAAGTTTGGAAGAATTTTTAGAAAAATGGTTTGATAAATCTAAACTTTCAATATTTACATCTGATTCTATTTATGAAGAAGAAAATTATAAAAATTTGATTAATAAATATAAAAGAATTGGAATAATTAAAGATTTTAAACATAGTCTTCTTATAAGTGAAATTAATTATAATTTTAATATATTATAAGTTTCATAATGTTGACTCTTAATTTAGTCGAAAATTTTGTTCAGTAGTACATTGGAGTTTTATTTAATTAATAAATTTGCTTTTTTCATTTTTATTACTTTCTTAACTCTTATTATCAATGTATAAATATTTTTAAATATGTAGCATGTTTGTATACGTTGTGGTCGTTGTGCGTCAGATCCGATTTGCGTCAGATGACGTTGACCTACATTATCGGCCCGATATTGCCCAATATTATAATACCTTAAGTGTGTTGGCCAGCGGGTTGGCCAGCATTACTAGGCCAGCCGTCATCTGATCACGTCAGCTGACGCAAATCGGTATCTGACGCACTACATATAGCGTCCGTCATGTACTGTACAATAGTTTTACGTTAAATCTTTTCATTGTTTCATATCATATTATTATAAAATCATATTCCATTGATCCATTCACGCTAAGTCGCTAAGTATTTACCCGTATAAATATTCGTATACTTTAGACTCTCCAAATCTTTTAGTGGTATAATAAATATGTAGAAAATTCGATCTATTGGTATATTTAAATTTTCACGTGTAGATTTAATACCTTAAAAAGCCCAGTAGTGAGATGATACACACAATATTGTAGCACAATCAATTCAATTCACACATAAATTAACTTTTAGTAAATTTAATTATATTCTTAATGTAAATTTATTAGAGTTTAAAATTTTTCTATTTAACATTTTTGTTACCGAAATAAATTTATTAGTTTTTATAGTTTTTAATAAAGTCTTACGGTAAAGCATTGCCAAAAATAAATAATTTTTAAATATACCTTAAATTTTGATATTAGCCCATATAAATTGTATAAAATCAATAGATTTTTGATGAAATTAAATTATCAAATAATATTTTCTCACAAAATCAGTTTTTACATGCATACAATATTTCCGTTAAAACATAATAAATTAAGAGGTTTCTATTAACCCTAGTATTACTGCAATTTCTTCTGTTACATTATGTTGCCTTTTCGCTTATTAGCTATTTGACCATAAACCAAGTGATCTTATATATTGTTAAATTCCCTTCAGCAATAAAGTTTGTATGATATGTAATGAATGTGAATAATCTAAACTCCACTAAATTCATATAAATAAATACAGTATCTCAGAACTTTCAAATACTTTCGTATGAACGATATGATATGTCATCATTGATACTAATATGAATCGAAAATTAAAATAATTGACTAATATAATAATAAATAAGAATAAAAGAATGTTAGTGAATAATTAGATAATGTGATTTTGGCTTGTTTATTTATTCAAACTTTTAGAGATACTTACTATATTAATATTCACATTTTTTCCTGGTTGTCGATTTTTATAAAAGTTTGATAGATTTATAGTTCTTTGCAATTGGTATCTATTTTTTCATTTTGTTAATGTCATTCATTTTATCAATAAATCATGCTATGTAACAAGTAATCAGAATGTTGCAATATCTTACCTTATCCAATAAATTTGTCCAGATACAAACAATGAACAATCCATATCCAAAATATCCATTCATTCAGCAATAAAAATCATGTCGTTGGTTCGATAGAGCATGCTGGAGGGAATGGTTACCTAAAAAGATTATCGCAAGCGCCTCCCATGTACTTAGCCATGATACTTCTCTTTCCACAAGGTCTTTAGCGAGAAAAATTACAAAATATAGGTGTTAATATAATAGTGTGTTACAATAATAAAAACAAACCATATCCTAAGAGTTTTAAATCAATCCAAAAGAACTCTATCATAATTGATTTCTTCTACATTTCTTTATTTATCCATATCCAAGTTTAATTTTTCTTTATCCAAATATTATTCTTCCATATGTTATTATTTGTCTAAAAGTAAAAAAAAATTTATTAATTGTAATAACTAAATAAGCCATACGAAAATCTATTAATCCATTAATTTTTTCAACACATCTCTTTATTTCTCTTCACGTCATAAACAACAAAATTTTATATTCGTCCAGTAATAAAAAAAAACAAAGTGAAAGGCTCTATCAATAAAAATAAATAAATATATATATAAATAATCAAACCATATCCTAAACCATGTGCGATGTCTTTGATCTTAATAATTATTTGTAACCAATCCACATAAAGCTTGTACTCTTAAATCGACTAACAATTAACCTGAGGTGTAATATATTTTTATTTCATCTTTTTCCA